GTGGTTTTGGTGTCTGCTGCAGTGCTTGGAGTCCTCAGGAAGCGCTAGGAGCATCCTTCAACGGAGGTACCCAGTCGGGGTGCCAGGCGATCCGTTACAGTTGCTGTGTGCGTTCCCGTGCTGTGTGTACATGTCATGGTGTAGTAGTGTGTGTGAGTGTAGCTGGTATTGTTGCTGTGTGCGTTCCTGTGCTGTGTATATATGTCATGGTGTAGTAGTGTGTGAGTGTAGCTGGTATTTTTGCTGTGTGTGCCTGTGCTGTGTGTACATGCCATGGTGTAGTAGTGTGTGAGTGAAGCTGGTATTGTTGCTGTGTGTACTTGTCATGGTGTAGTAGTGTGTGTGAGTGAAGCTGGTATTGTTGCTGTGTGTGCCTGTGCTGTGTGTACATGTCATGGTGAAGTAGTGTGTGAGTGTAGCTGGTATTGTTGCTGTGTGTGTGCCTGTGCTGTGTGTACATGGTGTAGTGAGTGAAACTGGTATTGTTGCTGTGTGCGTTCCTGTGCTGTGTGTACATGTCATGGTGTAGTAGTGTGTGTGAGTGAAGCTGGTATTGTTGCTGTGTGCGTTCCCGTTCTGTGTGTACATGTCATGGTGTAGTAGTGTGTGAGAGTGAAGCTGGTATTGTTGCTGTGTGTGTGCCTGTGCACAATGGCATGTCATGGTGTAGTAGTGTGTGTGAGTGAAGCTGGTATTGTTGCTGTGTGTGCCTGTGCTGTGTGTACATGTCATGGTGTAGTAGTGTGTGTGAGTGAAGCTGGTATTGTTGCTGTGTGCGTTCCCGTGCTGTGTGTACATGTCATGGTGTAGTAGTGTGTGAGTGAAGCTGGTATTGTTGCTGTGTGTGCCTGTGCTGTGTGTACATGTCATGGTGTAGTAGTGTGTGTGAGTGTAGCTGGTATTGTTGCTGTGTGCGTGCCTGTGCTGTGTGTACATGTCATGGTGTAGTAGTGTGTGTGAGTGTAGCTGGTATTGTTGCTGTGTGTGCCTGTGCTGTGTGTACATGTCATGGTGTAGTAGTGTGTGTGAGTGTAGCTGGTATTGTTGCTGTGTGCGTTCCTGTGCTGTGTGTACATGTCATGGTGTAGTAGTGTGTGAGTGTAGCTGGTATTGTTGCTGTGTGCGTTCCTGTGCTGTGTGTACATGTCATGGTGTAGTAGTGTGTGTGAGTGTAGCTGGTATTGTTGCTGTGTGCATTCCTGTGCTGTGTGTACATGTCATGGTGAAGTAGTGTGTGAGTGTAGCTGGTATTGTTGCTGTGTGTGTGCCTGTGCTGTGTGTACATGTCATGGTGTAGTAGTGTGTGTGAGTGAAGCTGGTATTGTTGCTGTGTGTGCCTGTGCTGTGTGTACATGCCATGGTGTAAGGTGGAGACTGGATTTGTCTGGTATGGGAATTTTTCTCACCCTGGCCTCCTCCAGCACTCTCTGAATTTCTTGCGCTTGCGCTCTCTCGGCCTCCCTACGGGTCTCCTCACAGGACTCCTCGATGGCATCCACAGATTCCGCTTTCCAGCTCTGACGCAGGACTCGCATCTTCTCTTCCATCTCCTGTTCTAGTTTTCGACGAAACATGGCCATGCGCTCCTCCTCTAAATGCTTCCTGTTCTCGGCTATTTCAACGAGCTGGTCCTGGAACATCTAGAGTCCAGAATATGGCAACACTGTGACATTCGTTCAACAAATTAGTGGACATTAACAGATAGACAGAGACAAAGAACGATACGGATTGTCAGACTGGCCCAGAGAGAGGCACTAGCTGTCACAAAACAGAATTGTCAGGATTACTAGTTGATCAGCACATAGAATAATATTACACCTAGGACTAAGGATAACATATAACCAGACCTTAGAATGGCCGGACTTAACGTATCCAAGAATAGTCAGAATACTTGCCGAGGTCTGGGATACAGAGACACAAAACATGGCCATGAGGGAAAGCCAAAAGTCAAGGGTACCAGAAATCAGGGAAGTCAAACGAAGCCAAAGTCAAATACCAGAAATAATACGATCAGGAACGCTCTCTTGGATAACCAGCAAAGGGAAACCACAACAGGGTACTGATTAAAAGGTAATTTGGGTTTAAATAACCATCCTAAAGCTGTATGTGACCTCTGACCCCAAAACGCGCGCGCGCACATCTATGACGTGACGTCACGCGCATGTAAGTGCCATCTTTAATATGGGCAAAGGCTATTTCACTATTAAAAACGGAACCGCAGCAGCCGGCGTCCCTGTTAACGCTGCACCAGCTGGGGACTGAGATGGAAGGAGGTCGGGCTTTGATCTACTGCGGGTAAGATAAGTATTTGTTATTTCTGTCAGCGTGAACGCTGTGTTTCTGTGCCACCGTGACAAGAATACTGAGACTTCTCCGTGTGAAACCAGGAAAAACATGGAAAGGCAAATGTTGGTTTTAAAGATTCAAGAACTTGAATGTCCCTTCTTTGAACCATTTTTCACTGAAATGTTTGAGGACATCTGCCACTTCGGCTCTGCAGAAGTTCATTAACAAAAACCCAGTTGTGGAACCAAATCAAACGACCCAAAAAGGAGCTAAAATGGGGCATTCAATGTACTGCTAAATATATAAATGATATAATACATGCATTTTCCCACCATTTAATTCACAGACCAAGAAAAAAAAAAGTAAGAAACAGATGGGAAAACAGTAGATGCAATTAAAAAAAAAATCTATATCTATATATATTATGTATTTATTAAATATATAATATATAAATCTTTTTTATTGTTCTTTCTTATATCCTATATATATATTTTTCTCACTGTGAATAAAGTCACCGTTTAATGACAGTCCCCTAGCCATCAGTCATCTTTTCCCCCATTCATTATGTCTGCCACAGGCGGAATAAAGAATCGTGACCTGAAACATGATTGGTCATTGTGCGTTTCAGTTGGTCCGTAATTTAGTTCCGCCCAAATCATATCTCCAAATCTAGGCTCACATTGTAGGCCTATCCTGGTACCAGATACCCATCATACCTGTCTCTGGCCTTGTAGAGCCTTTTCCTTCTCCAGATGAACTTGTTGAATTTCTTCTCTTAGAGCGACACATTCTCTGCAGCTCTCCTGGGGCGAATGACGTCCTGAAATGTCCTCTTGGAAAGCTAGAGAGAGAAAAGTCCGATTTAACATTCTCTGTGAGAGCTTATTCCGTTGTTCAGTCTATAATAGCAATTTTTGGATTAAGAAAGAGAAATATTGCTGCGTTGTATTTTCATTCAAAAGAAATGGAAAGAGGACAAAAAACTCACTGAAAATATATATATTTTTAAAATATAAAATCTAACTCCCACCAGCTTTCAGCCAATATAGTTCTAAACCCCGTGTCAGATGAGCTTCTCTGCATACAGATAAAGACTGTTTGAGTGTCAGAGTTCTGTTTACCGCTGTAGACTATGTTGGCGCTTTACAATGATGATTCTGCATCTACTCTGACCAGTTTTAATTCTGGGATTTACATTATGAGGCAGATTATTTTATCTGCTAATCTGAGAATTGGGATGAATTGGCAGCATTGCACAGTACGGGTCCAGAAACCAAGTTGGGGAATTCTTCAATTTCACTTACCTTGGTCTAACATGTACAATTCTCTTGCCGGTTATTCCCAATTCCTGATTTAGTAAATAGGTCAGTAGTTAAGTGGGATCAGTTAATATGGCAGCATGTGGACATCAGGTTGACCTGCTGGTCTACTATACATCATGCTGGAAAAATCTCCACCAAATGACAATTTTTATTCTCCATCAAGATGATGTCCACAGCCCCTCCACACCAAAGAGGACAATGGCTATATCCCACAGTTCTTAGCATGTGGCTAAATGAAGCGTTACGGAATGTTCATGCGCCAATGAAGGCTGCCAGCATTGAATTCTAGGTAATAGGTACAGGACGGCCAGTCTTGTTAGTAACGTGTCAGTTCTAGATTAAAGATACAGGACGGCCAGTCTTGTTAATAACGTGTCAGTTCTAGATTAAAAATACAGGACGTCCATTCTTGTTAGCAACACGTCAGTTCTAGATTAAAAATACAGGATGTCCAATCTTGTTAGTAACATGTCAGTTCTAGATTAAAGATACAGGATGTCCAATCTTGTTAGTAACATGTCAGTTCTAGATTAAAGATACAGGACGCCCATTCTTGTTAGTAACATGTCAGTTCTAGATTAAAGATACAGGACGCCCATTCTTGTTAGTAACATGTCAGTTCTAGATTAAAGATACAGGACGTCCATTCTTGTTAGTAACATGTCAGTTCTAGATTAAAAATACAGGACGTCCATTCTTGTTAGTAACGTGTCAGTTCTAGATTAAAAATACAGGACGTCCATTCTTGT